CGTGGTTTTAGTTCAAGGAGTATTACAAAACTAAACACTCCAGTCTTTGAATATGTCAAGTACTAAAACCACACTTTCTTCAATTCTCCCTCCTTTATAGATGCATCTTGTGGACTTGACTCGATAAAGAGCTACCAGATAATAAAGGGAATTTGTGAGGGTTTACATCACTTCACTAGAATCATATTGTTCACTTAGATCTCAAGCCCGCAGATATTCTACTAGATGACAATATGGTGCCGAAGATTACCGACTTTGGCCTCTCAAGGTGCTTTGATGAGAAGCAAATCCGAGCTATTACCAAAAATATGGCCGTAACGTGGTAACTTGTCAAAGCCTCTGAATCTTTTTTTTTATCTTAGGTAGAAGCTGCATTATTTTCCATTTTTTCCTACATTCGTATGATTACAAAATTTCCTGCAGGGGGTATATGCCACCAGAGTTCCATAGTGGAGACATATGCATAATCACATACAAATCAGACATATATAGTCTTGGTGTCATAATTTTAGAGACGCTGGCAGGAAAAAAGTGGTAGCCTGACGGCCCTGGTGCGCAACGGTGACGACACCAAGATCTGGAGCCGCCACCGCCTGTCAGCGCGGAGAATCACGAATTGAGCATGGTGGATAGGTAGTTCGGAGCAGAGTGCCAGCTGTGAGCGGATAAGGGTTCAGAGAGATGCAATATGGATGAGGTCAGAGCACGGTTAAATAGGCGTGGTGGCCAAGTGAAGGGATAGGAAGCAGGCTTCAATGCGGTGCATCAGCCGGAGTAGGCTTCTCGGTCGTCGTTCTACATTGAAGTGGCAGCGTCCACTCGTCCGGTTCTCGCTCTTTCTGGCATAAATGTCGCAGAGTCACGTCCACCCTGGAGCGGCGCTGACTGGCATGAATGCGCGGCAACCGCTTCGCGCGGAGAGTATTTTTCTGGCATGAGGGTTTTGGGTGGGACCTGGATGGTTGACGCGTGCGTGGCAGCATCCTGGACGCCCACAAAGCCTCCTGGTCCAGACGGATGCAGGCGGTTTAGGAGTCCGCGTTGGAGATTCCATTTGCATCGTATTACAAGATAGATTCAAATGAACCAGGAGCAGAAGAAAATGAGATAAAGTTAAAAACAACACAAGACAACACAACAAGGAGCAGCGCCGAGGAGATCGAACCGCATCAGCCAGCCGAGACCAAACCATGACAATGCACCATCGGCGTGAATCGCAAGGCGACAGGCAACCGAGACTACACAACACCACAACACCATCTATCGCGGGGTACATTTGAAAGGTCATGCGAGACCGAGATGGCGCCACGACACCTTTGTGTCATCGATGTAGTCGAAGGGCATCACCAAGCAAAGATCTCTCAGAGTACACCAAAACATCGCCAGGCCGGGATCAAAACAACGTCATCAATATAGAACACGGCACGGAGCATCGGCGTAGCCTCAGCCAGCAGCAACTGACCGACCATGGATCTTTCCCAATCCCCATTCACATCCCCCACACGATGATCACATCACAGCTGCCAATAGCGTCGGGAAGCGCTAAAATGGGCGACCCCAGATCTAGGAAAATCCAACCGGCGAGGCGTCCCCGGCGAGCAGAGCCACGAACGGCGACAACCCATTGGAAGAGCTGGGAGGTGGAGGGCTCCAATGTCACTGGAGCCGTGATGCCACCTTCGTTGGCGAGTGCACGGAGAGGAACAATGACGACCAAACTCCGGGTGGTGGAGATGGTAGATGTGGCGTTTGGAACTACATGAGGCGGGACGGAGGGTGTCGAGCACGCTAGAGTTGTAGCCGTCGATGTGAGCAGTTGAGGGCGGGCAGTGGCGGAGTCTAGTGCGAAGACGCGGAGTAGGGAAGTGGGCGCAGGGGCCAGCCCTGCAGGCTTCTGCCACTGCCAGATTTGGCGAGGACCAATGCGGATGAAGAGGGGGCCTGCAACGAGCGCATAGGCGGATCCCGCTGCCGCCAGCCGCCGCCGGGCTTTGCTCGGTGTCGTTTGCTGGCGGCAGCAAGGGGGTGGTGGCCGGTGAAGTGGGCTGTGGCAACAGCGTAGCTGAGGCCAGGCAGCCCAGGCAATGGCCTGGGGAAAAAAAATCCTAGCCTTATATTTAGAAAAAAAATCCCTCCCCTACCCTGCCATCCTGGACTTTGGTCAGCGACTCACACACGAAGGTATCCCCCATCTTACGCTATCCCAAATCCCAATTTCATTTGCTAGATGTCTCTGTTTGATTGATTTTTTTTTCAAAACTATCACTTATTTTATAGCAAATTCGGAAACTATAGCACCCAATGGAAAAAATATCAAAACTATGACCCCGTCTACCTCGTGTGGGCCGAAGAGGTTGTTTTCGGTCAGCTTTTGACCGAGAAGAGCTTTCCGGCCTTGCCTTGGCCGAAGAGATGCGTAGCTGGGCCGAAAAGGACCTTTTTGGTCAATAGTGGCCGAAAAGTTATTTTTTGTCAACAGTAGGCCAAAGAGTCCTTGGGCCCCACTTTTTCACGCCAACGTGTGGCCGAAGGTGCATGGCTGCGCTCTTTGACTTATGTTAGGCCGAAATGGTTTTTTTATTTTGACTTATGATTGTTGTGCAACCATTGTCCATCTTAGACATTGGAAAGATATATTTTCGCGCAACCTTTTCCTCATTATTTTCCTGCCAACTCTTTCCCTTCATATGTTCCCACAACCCTTTCCCTCCACATCAGGTGGCTATGACCCCGATAAAACAATCTCGTTAGCAACTTCACTGCCCTGGTCGGGTTCATACCCCCTGTGGAGTTGTACGATATTCTCCTCCTTCGCCACATGTTGTACAAGGGCATATGGGTGAATTTTTCGGTCTTGACAACGTCTTAACAGGGTCAACCAATGTTGGCTCCTATCTATCGGCATCAACTCCCACTTGACATTTTTACAGGATTTGGTCCACAATGCATGAATACTGACGAAACATACTCGAGGATCCAACCAACTAGTTGTCAACCAGTACTTCAACTGTCTGATGTCCAGTCTGTCCGGGTCTGCTAGTGTCATGACGCCATTTTTAAACTGCTAAGATCAACCCCCAACTCATTATATCGAACATTACCAGCGTTGTAGTAAACAGTCAAATTTACTGGTTTAGACATTTTCACCTGTCAGACATTGTCATCTTCTCATTAATCACAACGAACAATATTATTACCCGCTATTGTAACTATGCACTAAAATGCCTCCACAAACATATTAACACTACAATTCGCAATATGACTTATCTACACTAACTAAACTATACAATTCAGAGAAAATTTGTGACTCGACATGGTTATTCCTTCGAAGCGTGTGTCCCTAGCTTCTTGCTCCTCTCTTCCACTCAGCGGCACCGGCCACCTCGCGGAGTACTTGCACCACCGGACAACGACAGCGCCGCCCCCTCGACGACCAGAGGTTCAACTTCGGTCACCCCCCAAGCCGCACCTCCTCCTCACCACCTCCACCTCCACAGCTGCTGCTCCTCCTCACCGCCACCTCCTTCCCAACCACACCTCCTCCACCCCACCATGGCTCCTCCCCCCAAACGCTCAAAAAACTACCCCATAGCAAAAAAAACACCGTAGGCCGTTGGAGAATGCTATGAGCTATCTATTATGTGCCTTGGATGTGAAAATGCGTGCAAACTGGAGGAGATCGGCGCGGGCTTGCGAGGTCTACAAAGAAGAACGAGAGAGAGAGAGAGGAAGAAACAGAGGCAAGCACGAGAGGAAGGAGACGACGGCGTCGGCCTTATCCAGACCTTTTCGGTCAAGGTCTGGCCGAAAAGCTCTTCGGCCTCTGGCAGGCCGAAAACAGCCCATTTCGGTCGCGCGTAGGCCGAAGCTACTATTTCCGGCCAACCCGCCACCGAAGCCACCTCTTCGGCTCAGATGAGCCCTTCTTCGGTCAACTGCTGGACGAAAAGCCCTTTTCGTCCAAGTGCGGACCGAAAACACCCTCTTCGGCCCACACGAGGCCGACGGGGGTCATAGTTTTGATTTATTTTTTTTGCATTGGGTACTATAGTTTCCGAATTTGCTATAAAAAAGTGATAGTTTTGAAGAAAAAAAATCGGTTTGATGCTTGATTGAAACATGATCTTTAATTCTTAATGCCTTCCCCTTTCCATGTTGTTTCCCTTAATTTAGTAATTCTGCAGAGAACTTAAATGTGGAAACTGATTTAGTAAAAAAATCAATGTAAGTAGCTAAATGACCGTGCGTTGCACTGATTTGCATTTCAAAATTAATCTTCTAAGGTTTAGCTTCTTCTATTATTGAAGATGTAATCATGGAAAGTTCGGAGCAATCAATCATTTGATTTGGTACAATATTTTGTATCATCTATGTTATGTATGGTCTTTTAATATCAACACAGATCTTTGGAACATAGGGGCACCAATGCACCTCAAATGGGAAAAACAATTTTAGGAAAATCAAAGAGTCGAAATTTTCTGAAACTTTTTTGTAACAACTATGGTCTAACATAATACTCATGTGAACAGTTTCACGGAGGAATGACTCGTTGTATTCTGGGTGAAAAAAAGCAAACTTGTTACTATATAAAAGTTACTACTCACGGCTTTTTGTAATCGCAAATTTGTTTTCTTGATCCTGGAGTCGGTCGAAGCTATTCCTTCGCGAACATTTTCACAAGACTCATTGGCTATTTCCGTTTCAATATGTCTTATTTTATTAGTTGAACCATCATTGAGCAAATACTGCAATTGAATATTGTGTTAGAGTTCTTATTAGTTATGCAACATTTTTACCAGCTGCAATATGATCCGGATCGGTTGATGTACATCGCCGTCGTGGTCGTGAATACCCATGATTAAGATATCATAGTGGCTGTTGTAAATAATATTTATTTCCAAGTTGGCTATAGAATAGTAACGCAATGAGACAAGAGATGGTATATGAAATTCGTACGCGTTAATACATGGTGGTTGTCTCTGTGATTCTAGGATATATGTATGCGCTTGCATTCCCAATTTCCCAGACAACATTTAGAGCTAAAAAAGACTAGAACACTTGATAGAGGAGAACGAAGCTGCTTGGTTCAACAGACCGCAAGCAGGATGGAGATGGCGGTAGGGGCGGCTTCGAGGGTGGTGGTGCAACTGGTGCGTGGAGTCGTGGTCGTCTTGAAGGATGCACTCCAGCTGCAAGGTGCTCGAGGGCTGGACCTTGAACGGCCAACGAGCGGAGACACGCCCTTGCACCAGGTACCGGAGCTGCCGCTTAACATCTGCATGGTATCCGAGATGTTCCTGCAGATCCTTGCCACGGGGCTCGGCGCCCTCGCCTTGGTCTGGGCGACCGTCGTCCTGCTCGGCGGTTTCTCCACTTATCTACACAAGGCTGATTTCTGGGTCATCACCGCTATCGTCTTCATCCAAACAGCCAGGTACCTCCTCAGTCCTCGCCCTCTTCTTATGACTGTAGATGACTAGTCCTGTACTACAAACAGGTCCAGTAATTAGTTTGCCTCTGTTGAGCAACAGGGTCGTGGGCATAAATGTAAGCCCCGAGGCAGAATTTTTCAACCAAGTTCCACAAGCATTCCTCGAATTGGGCGCCGAGCACTACACGAAATGGGGGCGACGAAGACCCCTGACTGGCCGAGCAACTGGCCAAAACTTCGTTTACTATCTCATGCTGGCACTTGGAAGTGCAAGGGATTTCATAACCATTGTGGCCTTCCTAGCAATATTGGTCCTTGCAGTTCCGATGATCGCAGGGTTAGGCTGCATATCACTTTCCATCTATCGTCTCGTTGCCCTCCTGTCGAGACATCATGGCAATGACAATGTGTTTCGTGCACTCATCTTGTTCTATGCTCTCGTGCTTCTCCAAGGTGGATTGTTCATCTTGTGGTTGTTTCTGAGGCTGTATCGTTCTTATCTTGCAAACCACGTGAGCTTCAAGTATGGACTTGAGGACAAGAGAGAATTGATTGACAAATATATGGGCAAAACCTTGAGCACGGCCATAAAAAATGGGGTGGCAGGTACCATCAACAGGAACCTGGCTTCCTTCGCAGCAGAAATGATGAAATCTGAGTACAGTCAGGACCGCATTGATGCAGTTTTGGTGATGCATAGATTGACATCCCAAGAGGACCATAGAACAAGAACACTATCCCAGATACAATCCTCACCGCTCTGTGTTTCCAGGCTGCTTGACATGGTTACCTCAAACTCAAAGAGCCGCACTGATCAGAGGACAAGAATATGCATCGCAGAAATTGTGGCACATCTTGCTAGCAACTTGTGCCTGGCTGACATATCAGGAGCAACAGAGTCCATATCTTCCATGATTGATCCCTACTTTATGAAAATATTAGCACCAGCTACCAATGTCAACATTGGCCATCAGACAGCTATTGACATCACAACTGACCAGCAGGGGGCTATTCAGTCAGCCAGCGCTACCAATGGAGGAGAAAGCATCGGATTTTGTATTTATCTTAAGAAATTAATGGACATGGTAGCTCCGCATACTGCAGAATTCATCAGAAATAGACAGCAAGAAACTCCTCGATCCTCCAGGACTACCAGTGGAGCTGAAAGCAAACCTCTAATTATCCATGGCCTGTTGATTCTTGCCAAGCTTGCAGTTAACCCGGACAACTGCAAACACATATATGATTACAAGGGTCTCTTCTCCAAGATCATATCCCCAGTCAAAACTAAAGTGTATGAGATCCTCAGAGATGATGGTATCACCATGGAAATAACTGAGAAGGCACTGGAAGTGGTGAGCATGCTTGTCAGTGGCACAGATGAAACCAGTGAAAAGATACGCCGAGATATTTGTAGCAACGGGATAGTAGCACAACATATCTGCTCAATCTTGGAAAAGGACCACATGTACAACAAGCTAAAGGTTCCAGCAACAAAGATCCTAATGGAGCTATCTTTGGATACGTCCACTCAAGCTACCCTTGGACTTGATGGCGTAGCTGAATTCATTAATGACTTGATGGACATCTTCTTTGATGCTGCTAATGAGAGTCAAGAACTCAAGAAGACCGCAGGGGAAGCATTGGCAGTACTGGCAATGGACAATGCCAATTGTATGACGATCACGAATTTCAGCTCAGAGACAAAAACTTCAGTTCAGCTGCTCACAGATATGATTCCTGCGGTAAACGCCAGATTATATCAAACTACCATAGCACAACTGCTGATGCAACTTTGTGCAAGTTTTAACCCTGCAGAAAGGGAGGAGCATCTCGCATCAGTCAAAACAATTCTACATGAGGTAAGAGTACATGTAAATATCCATATTATTTTTCCAATAATCTATTAGTACTCTATATGCTTCACAGATACGAAAGAGCAGTTCGGAATGGTGAATTCACTTATTTATTATATCTCATTCTTTGTCATCTGCATCACATTTTTCAGATAGAGGATATAATTAACATGCGTGATGAAACATAACACAAATTTGTGAACTTGTATCTAAAATTTCAGTAGACTTTTTCTTGAACTAGGTTGATGTAGTATCCAAGTTTGATCTGACACAACGATTCGTAGTCCGGATCTTTATTGTGGTGTGCCACCATGGATCTGTTTGCTACAGTCGAATGTCCAAAGATCTATAGAAGTTCAAATGGGGGCTAGCATAGAGCAGATCCAAACGGAATCTGAAAGTTCAAAAAAAAAATGGATTTCTTTTCTTCACGTGTTTTGGACAGATGCATGCCAAACGGGACACAAAAGTTCGTTGGGACCATGTGTACTCCATAAGCAGAAATCCCAATAAAAAGGCATGAGCCTTAAAAAAATCTTTATACAAAAAAGTAATGACTAATGAATATTATCATATATTGTTTTTTAATTAGTGCACATCATGAGTAGGATATGCACGACCATTTCCCCCTTTTACTTGATGTAACATTGCTGTTGAAATATCTCACATGTACCCTTTGTTCTTAGAATAAGAGGTTTCTTCTTTACTAAATTGTTTTTTGGCATGACAGGTACTCAAAGTTATATGCAACATTGAACAAGCAGCAAATGCAAATCAGGTGGGTTCTCCCCAGCATAACCTGGGCCAGCAACAAGCAGCAAACACAAATCAGGCGGGTTCTCCCCAGCATAACCCGGGCCAGCAACAAGCAGCAACCGCAAATCAGACGGGTTCCCCCCAGCATAACCAAGGCCAGCAACAAGCAGCAAACACAAATCAGGTGGGTTCTCCACAGCATAACTCAGGCCAGCAACAAGCAGCAAACGCAAATCAGGCGGGTTCTCCCCAGCATAACCCAGGCCAGCAACAAGCAGCAAACACAAATCAGGCGGATTCACCACAGCAAAACTGGGGCCGGCCCCCATTTTCTCGGGCATTTTATCGCTTGAACAGTTTTCTCGGGGCTCACCACTCTCACGCTGCTAACAGAAACAATCCCAATGACAATTTGCCGGCTGTTACTCAGCTTGTAGGTGCTAGAAGAAAATCCCTGGCAGCCTTCTTAGGCCTTACATTGGAGATATGTGACAAACTGGAGATCAGTCCAGATGATTTTGATGATGCGCTTGCGCTCATTCCTCTTTCCATGGATGACTTTGTGGATAAACTGAATCATATAATAGAACAGTGCAAGGGCCACTCTGTTGATAGCTTGGAAGGGAAGGGCCCCTCAGTTGAGTATCTGATAATAATCAAGGCAGTGACAAAGTTATGTACATGGATGATGGAAAGCAAGCCAGACTGCATTACAGTATTCCAAAACAAGAACACTAGCACAAAACTGCAAGGTGCCTTGGAGGATATGAGAGACCTGGAACTAGGTATGCTCCTTACCGGCAGTGCAGGGGACATGGCTAATTACCAAACCCTTTCAAACATCGTGGGTGTTGCACGGCAGATGATGGATGCTAATGTGCAAGTTTAAATAGGAATGGGTGGAAAAGAATTACAAGTGTGGGGTTTTCTTTCGGTGCCTACTTTTCAGAGAATTGTTTTCTCCATGTGTCTCCCCACGTGTAAGAATCAAGATAGCTACTTGATTTTTTATCTTCCCGGTTTACAATCTGCTTGATTTTCCGTGGATTAATTGTGCTTGACTTTTGCTGTGTTTGTCAAATAGCCTTTGTATGACCGTTATCCGCATTGTGGTACCGAACTTGTAAAATTAGTCAGATTTGTGTTGTAGACTTTTGTAGGATAGAGAGATGCATCCCACATTCATTAAGCAAGAACAACAAGGAAAGAATATTAAGCAAGAGCAAAATTAAGAACACACGTTGCACCAGGTTTTAGCATTGTTAGAAATCACCGTTCGACTACAATCTCATTTTTATACCTCAGGCACCGCCAACAACAAAACATCCACATAAAAGAAGGGAGAAGGTACCATGTTGCTCTTCGAATAAAATTCCTTCAGTTGAAGCACTGGAACAGCCCGGGCGAGGGCCCTCCAGCGTTCGGCCGCGGCGCCCGTGGCCCTCGGCCGGGCTCCTTCCGACGATTGGCTACGCCATAGCACGACTCCCTCAGTCCCGCCCGAAGCGGCGCACTCCAGCTGCGGCGCCATCCGTCGCGATACGGCGCCGCGATAAGAGCACGAGGCCGAGCCGCTGAGTGGCGGAGGCAGCGCCGGCGTCGAATCGGCCCAACGCGGAGGCTGCTCCCAGCACGCACGGCGGCCTCGGCCCCGTCGCCTCCCCACCCCCACACCCCAGGTGCACGGCGCAGCGGCGTCGCCTCGATCTCCTGGCGGCGGCCTGCGGCGATGTGACGTGGAAAGAGCCAAACGCATTTTTGGAAATTCTATTCAGTTGAGAGCAGCCACAACCACACGATCCTAGGTGGCGTTGGGTTATGTGGCCATCCACCCTGGGACAGGGATAGCCGATTTTTCTGGGGATGCCACCCGTTTGGTTGACCAGCCAGCGGGGATATGGATAACCATATGCCCTCGAATATTCGCCCAAAACCTGGTTAAAGAAAGTTGTGAAATTCTGGCGGACGATGGCAGCCACCCGCGCACGAGTGCCTCTTTTTCCCACGTTGGTCGCCTCCCAGCCCGTGAACCTGTTTCGTTTCCTTCTTATCTCACCCCTCACTCGAGACCCTAGCATCACAACTCCCTCTCACGATAGAAGAAGCGGCGGCGGCGACGCGATTCAGCTTGGATTCCGGTGCAGCGGAGGTACAGATCCTCCTTGTCCTCATTCCCCTCTCTATCCTCTCTGTTCTATGCATCTCCTGGTTGAATCGGACGGCCAGGGCGGGCTGGAAGAGTGGAGCGCTACCGGGAAGAAACGCACGGATCCGGCCATCGGGAACGGGCAGATCCGGCGCGGGGGAGGGGGGGGGGGTCGCTGGTTTCACTGAAATGGGAGGGTTTGGCAGTGGGGAACGGGATGGTTTGGTAGTGGGGAACGGGAGGGTTGGTCGCTGGATTCACTGAAGCTTGAGCGCCGACGGGAGGAACCTCTCTATTCGTTCGTTTGTAGCATGTATGTTCTGTCCATATATATGTATAATACTTTTCTTCCTCTCCTTTATTTTCAGCGGCTTGGACAGGAGGCAGTCTTTTGCATCTTGTTTGGAACTTCTCTGCCCTTCTGAAGGTATAAATTGATGTACATTCTACCATCAACATATATTTGCTATGTACTTCTGCCATGAGAATACAAGCAAGATTTGAAAGCATTTGTTATATACTTCTGCCAAGAAAATGTACTTGTTATGATATTTCAATTCAGTGGACATTGAGCAGGTTTATATCAATTTATTATTGTTTCAATGTTGCATTGTAGATGGACAACAAGCAAAAGAGGCTAATATTTGCGGTTGTGTCATATATGCTTGTCTCGATGATGACATTAGTAGTTCAGTCTAGAAAAAGAAAAAGGCATGCTATCATACGTTATGGGCCAATAGATGAGAGGGGTAGGATGAGAAATGAGTACCTAGATAATAAAATATGGAGGGATGAAACAACATGTGTGAACATGCTTAGGCTTGGAAGAGGGCTGTCAGTGTCAAAACCGGCGGATCTCGGGTGGGGGTCCCGAACTATGCGTCTAAGGCTAATGGTAACAGGGAGGAGGGGGACACAATGTTTACCCAGGTTCGGGCCCTCTCGATGGAGGTAATACCCTACTTCCTGCTTGATTGATCTTGATGATATGAGTATTACAAGAGTTGATCTACCACGAGATCATAGAGGCTAAACCCTAGAAGCTAGCCTATGATTATGATTGTTGTTGTCCTACGGACTAAACCCTCCAGTTTATATAGACACCGGAGGGGGCTAGGGTTACATAGAGTCGGTTATAGAGAAAGGAATCTTCATATCCTAACCGCCAAGCTTGCCTTCCACGCAAAGGAGAGTCCCATCTAGACACGGGACGAAGTCTTCGATCTTGTATCTTCATGGCCCAACAGTCCGTCATATGCATATAGTCTGGCTGTCCGAGGGCCCCTTAATCCGGGACTCCCTCAGTAGCCCCTGAACCAGACTTCAATGACAATGAGTCTGGCACGCAGATTGTCTTCGACATTGCAAGGCGGGTTCCTTCTCCGAATACTCCAAAGTAGATCTTGAACATAAGAATCATGTCCGGCTCTGCAAAACAAATTCCACATACCACTATAGAGAGTATAATATCCCACGAGTCCAATCTGCTGACAACTCATAGTGTGACATCACGCCATGGCCCGGTCTTTATTCGAACCGCTTTTATCCCGTCCCTCCGTATTTTGAGGCGTTGTTTCATTGGCACGTCTTGTCAAAGCGGAGATCATATCCCCTTATCACGGGATTCTAATCAATGCGGGCATGGGTAACTCAACCGTGCCATATGCATGGTGCTTGGTGAATAGGCGGATTTTAAGGCAAGGGGGGAGGCGCACGACTTTAACTGTCTTTATAAGGGGATAAGGATTCCTCCTCGTTTACCCACGCCTTCTCCTTCCTCTGCCCATTCATCATTAAGCTCCAACGCCCAAGCTATCACCTTCTCTGCCCGAAAACGCACTCCAATCATGTCCGGATCCGGAGCTGGAGGCAAGTGGATGGCCTCCTCTATCAAGAAGGAGGAAATCAAGAAGCTCCGGGAGGCCGGATACTTGTCCAAAGACATCGCTCATCGGCTTCCGGCCAAGCGGCAGATCATCCCTACCCTGGAGCCCCAAGAAAGGGTGGTGTTTCTCTCCCACTTCGTTCGCAGGCTGGGATTCCCCCTCCACCCATTCGTCCGCGGACTGATGTTCTACTACGGGCTGGACTTCCATGACTTGGCCCCCAACTCCATCCTCAACATCTCGGCATTTATTGTCGTGTGCGAGGCCTTCCTCCGCATCCCACCTCACTTCGGCCTATGGCTGAAGATCTTCAATGTGAAGGCAAAGGTGGTGAGCGGCCAACAAGCGGAGTGCGGAGGCGCCATGGTGGGCAAGATGCCCAATGTCACCTGGATCGAAGGCTCCTTTGTGGAGACCGTAAAGGGGTGGCAATCGGGGTGGTTCTACATCACCGAGCCGCGCGGCACCAACTGGGCAGCGACCCCTCGAATTCTGATCCGGAGTCCCCATGCGGCTCACCTCCTAGCAAGAGAAGGGTTTAGCCTGGGGCTCAGTGGAAGAACTGACTGGGCTCCAGACATGTGTCCAGAACATGATAATCAAGAAAGTCAAGCTTGTCAACGTGGTCCAGGTTATGCTCTTCCGCCGGATTCTTCCGTGCCAGAGCCAGACTTGTAATTTGTGGGAGTTCGACCCGGCCAAGCATCAGACGCTGCTGGAGCTCTTCGATGCGACACATGAAGACATCTTGATGTAGGGCAGAACCCTAGGTGGATGATCTTTCACGTTTGGAGTGGATCCTACGAGGAATCACGAAGAACACGCGGAAGCACAAAGGGGAAAACATGGGGAAAACGAGAGAGAATCACGAAACCGACATAGAATCAATCACACGAGTGCTAGATCACCGAACACATAGAGATACATATGATCCACAATCAACAATGGTAAGGATACAAAGGAGCCGTTCTTCTCCGAGAGGAGGTCTTGAATCCACGAGGGGATCTTCCCATGAGGGGGGTCTTGAATCCGCTTGGGGGATCTTCTCCGAAGAGGTCCTGAACTCCGAGGAGAAGTATCCAAGTGGATGAGCAAGGTCTCTCACACAAATATGAGCTAAACCGTGACACCTCAAAATTTTGACCTTGTTTTGCTAATTAAAATTTTGCCAGGAAACTTAAACTTTTATTTTCTGGATTTCCTTCTGATTTCAGAAACTTTATCTTTCTTATTATTATGGAGTTTTTACCCATTTTCCCCTGAGCTTTATTTCTTTAAATTGGTTTTCCATAAGTTTTAGGGTTCCATTTGCACTGCAACCCTTTGATAAATTTATTTAAAAATCCCACCAAAAATTGGAGATGTCATGTGATGTTTTTGAATCACTTTTGTGCAAAAATATATTTCATTCACTTAATATTTTGAGCTCTACACCAAGTTTTCAAATCTGGTCCAGTGGGAGATTTTACACTACAACCTATTTAAGTATTGCTCTAAAACTTCTACCAAAATTAGGGGAGGTCAGTAGGGGCATATTATTCCACTTTGTGCAAAAACCCATTGATGTTCTTTGAAAAATTTGAGTGAATCAACCCCTTTTGCTTTCTGGTCCAGTTTGGCTATTTCTACTGCAACCCTAGTTAAATTTGCTCTAGTACTCTTGAGCTTTCTCCTGCTTATAGCCCATGCTACAAAACCCTTAAGTCTAGAAGAGTGGACCCATTGGAGGATTTTCAGTGCATGCAACCATGCCTTTTTTTTCTGTCCAAAACTGATGTTTTGCAAAACTTGCACTAACAAGTTTTTGATTTTGTCAAACTAACCTCACCACCCTCTCTTTCAACTAAAGAGACCCTG